CGCAGCGCTCAGGCCCGCGCCCCTGGAGGGAGCCCCCGGCGCAGGGAGGCCGCGCGGACCCGCCACCAGGGTAAGCCACCTCGGGCGAGGGGGGCCTCGCCGGGCCGGGTGCCCGAGGCCCGCCGCCCACCCGCTGCAGCCCCTGCAGCCCCTTTCGGACTTCCTCATTCCGGCGCCACCGCGGGGCCAGCCCGCGGGAGGAGGTTGACAGGAGTGGCGAGGCACATGGGACTGGCGACAGGGAGACAGGCACATCCGGGCCGCGCAGGAGCCGGTCGGCCGCAGGGCCGCGGCTGCCCGGCCGGCCTCTCTCTCCCGTCCCCGCGCCGGGCGGGCCCGGGAACCGGGGCGAACTCGTGCAAACTTGCTTTATCCCCACCCCACCCCTGCTAGGGGCGGCTTGAGGTGGAGGTGCGCTTCGGCGGCGCCGAGGAGCGAGGGGAAGGGGGTGCGTTTGCGTGCAGTGCTGAACCAGATTTCACCGCCGGGCGGTTCACGAAATGAAAGCAGAAGTGCATGGCCGTCCTTTAGGCTGGGAGAGCCCTCCTCGGCCCTCTAGACTGAGGAGGACAGCCTGATGCCCTCGTCCCCTACTCCAAAAAGAATCCCCCCCCCCCCACACACACACACACACGACATAATATACTCAACTCACCTACTCTAGGACCCTACATTAGTCTTCAAGAAAACAAGGAGGGTCTGGTGCTGATCCTACAGTGCCTGGCATTTGAGAAAGAAAAGAAATTACCTACTTAGAGCACTTTTTAGACACTCTGATTATGTGAAACACTTGAACAACGGCACCATGTATTGTGCCTGACCTCTAAAGCAAAAATAATGACATAAACAAAGCCTGTCCTAAATACAAGCTTTCTGTGGTCTTTAAAAATAAGTATGGAATGGAGATGTTTGCCCTGATTTATTGGTCTAACCTGAAACTTAAATGGGACTTAATGATACAGTATTTGATTATCAAGATTTAAGACGTTTTCATGGACTTTGTTGAGTAGGGTTTTTCAGCATTCAGCTTATTAAATAACTATATTTAGCTTAAAATTTTTGTTATAAAGCCCATAATCTGAGAAAATGACTTGGTATTACTAAAACATGTAATAGCTCTGGCATACAAATGTTCTTCTACAAACTGTTGCTCTTCGGTAGACACTAAAGCTTGGAATCAAGATGTTCAGTGCTTGTTTTCCTAGCAGAATACTTCAATTGAGTATTCTTGAGTAGTTTAAATTGCATTAGTGTTTGTTAAAACTTTGAAAGGGAATCTTGAGTAAAATAAAGCCCTTAGCTGAACTATGTTGTTTTCCTGATTTTAATATTGTGCTTTCTAGAGATGAATCCTTTTACTGTTTGATGCACTAAAGAAATTATGTAAATAATTTAAAGCAAAGTATTTTTTTGAGCTTACAAACTTGGGAAGACAGGAAATAAAAGATTTGTTTCCTGTAACATTTTATGTTTATCATGTAATTGAATTGCTAAGGTGAGAAGAACATATATAATAGACGGAAAAATGAAATCTACTGAAATTATTCATCCGTCTGGTTATACCTGCAACTCCTCAGTGCCCTCTGGGGCTTGTTTAGATAGAATGTTTTCCTGGACCACAGTCTCCTGGACAAACATGAGCCAAAGAAAGACTCATTATGTGGAGATTTCGTGCTGGCACTGAAGGGCTGCTTGCCGTCAGCAGTAAACCCCTTCTAACCTGTTTCAAAGGCTTTTAAAAGGAAATAGTATAATGCAGTTAGGGATCGGTGGTGATTTGAAACTCTATTATCTTTGTTCTGAAATTTCAATTTTGTCTTATGTTCTGCAGTTGGCGTTCACATGGGCTGAATAAATGCCCCTGTTTTTCAGACCCGGTTAGTAAATACTGGAATATACATACAAAAATCGTTGTTCCCCTTTGTAAGCACTGCTTTGATCTTTGCACTTCCTTCTTACTTCTACCTCTTAAACAAGATCGTCTGTGATGACTGAGTTGTAGTTGGTAAAAGCTCAATTAGTCTGAAATGGCAGAATTTTAGTTTTAGTGATCATATTCCTCATATTTCTCTTGTCATGTTCTTTGGAACAAATTGAAGCTAGTTTGAGAAACTAACATTTATGGAGGTTGTTTTTACTACTGCTTTCAGCCTTCCAGATAATTGATGAAGTAAGTTACCACCTTGACTATCAGGGGTTACTCCTTGTGGTAGATAAAAGGTCTGGATAAGGAATTGGCAGCTACAGGGATCTTGGACTATTATTCGATCAGCAGGACCTTGTTTTTTACCTAATTTATGAGAGGTATTCCCCTGTTCAGAAAAGGTGAAAGTTCTGGCTTCTGGGGGGAAGTGGTTACTTCATAACCTTCCATTAGTGTGAACTTGGGAGAAGTAAGAACAGTAGTTGACATTTTAAAACAATAAATTTTAAAAAATATCTGAATTTCCATATGGATTTTTGATAAAGTAGTCAAAATACCATCTTCTTCTTCAGAAGTTATTAGTAGATGTCCTGTTCCGAGCATAGAGATGACTGCAGTGGAAAGTGTATCTGGAAATGCAGAGTAGTTTAATCAGTAGAGTAAATATTCAGATTAAGCTCTCCTAGTCTACAGATTGAACAGGAATCACATTAGCAGGAATGGATGTATTAGAATCAATGGCTATGCAAAATTTCTCATTAATTTACCTTTTATTAGGAAGGTTATTTCGTTTGTTTGGTTGATTGGTTTTCTGTTTATAACATGAATCATATAAGAGGACGTGGTTGTTGTATGTTGTAGAAAGAGGAGGAGGATGAGAAGGAAGAGTAGAATTTTAGTGCTGAAGGACACTTGTAAATGTTCTGCTCCTACATCTACATTTATGTCTGATCAGAGTTAATTGACAACTGCTTCTTGGTGACCAGTAAACTTCACTGAAGCAATTTACCCTGTTCTCTGGGGATTAGTTCTCCTTTGCACTCTTGCACCTCCTGTTAATGCTGAACTCACCTATAGTGTTCTTAGAGGTAAGCGGGTAAACCATTGGAAGCATATATACCCTTTGAGTTGACCCTGTCACTCCTTGGGAGACCTTGGGGGTGTTAACAGTCTAGAGGCGTTCAGCCTCAGAGACAAACATTTGGACTTGTGGCATAGTCCTGCAAGTCAGTCTGGCTCCTTGACTGTGGTTTGATTTTTTTTTTTAATCAAAAAAGATTAATATTTGAAACCAGATAATTTGTAGAATTAATAGAGTAACATTACCAAGGCGCTTATCTTTGTAATACTTCATTAGTGAGTATCCAGTGCCACACTAAGTGGTAGCATTCTTTTCATGATGGTGAAATTGCTTCATACCTTTGGTCTCTGCTGTATTAGAGAGGGTGTTCCTGGGTGCAGATTAATCTGCTGTCTTTCATATTTTCAGGTGAGGGTGGTACACCTACCCTTGAAGATCAGCCAATAGTTTAGAAAACAAGCTGTGCAAGAAAATCTTACTGCTTCACTACAAGTAATTTAAAACCTAACAGTCTTACACAAAAGCAATATAAGGTGTGATTTGTTAAAGATTATAGAATCCTCAGGAGTATAGATTTGGATGAAAATATTTATTTAATTTAGAGTATTAATTATAAAATTATCATTGTATTTTAAATTTTAAAAAGAAGTCAATCATTATTCTATTCTTATATTTTCTGTAGTAACTAATATATTTAATTATCAGTAGTACAAATTTCATCTGCTTTAATTTGTTGCCTGTTTTTGAAATTAGAATAATGAAAGGAATGGTTTAATTCCCCATTACAAATTGGCTTATTACTTTTCATTTACATTTCACCATTAGGCCAAAAATGTTATAACCAGCTTTTATTCTGACACATACTTTCCACAGGTATTTTAATTTAAACAATCTGTAGGCTCAATTTCTTTAAACTGTGAAAAAAATTCTGACCGATGGAGCTTTAAAGAAGAATGTAAAGACTGTATGTGGCTTATTCTTTAAGAGCCTAATTATAAAAAAAAAAAAAAGAAAACAATATAAAGGAGAGGAAAAGAGCTGAGAGAGTCAAAAATCCTGTAGTTCCAGCTAAAAAGAAGTCATGTCTAATCCATACTGACAAAGAAATATGTGCCTGTGGGTACAGAGTAAGCAATTAATAACTGCTTATTGAATGAAGGAATGATATGTTCTGTTTTGTTTGTTTAAAAAAAGGGCAGCCGTTTTCTGCAAGGAACAAAAATTACACTATTTTGCCTTGCCTTCTGGGAAGAAAGAAGACAAAAACTAGTTCTTGCTTCCTAGATATTATATTCTTATCTAAAGAGCACTTAAGTTTACTAGAACGAGTAGTTTATTAAAAAGTGCCCAGTGCCTTCCAAAGGGGAAGCATTTCATTTTGAAAGAGGAGTTTATGAACTGGAAAAAAGAAAGAAAGAAGGAGAAAGGCTTTTAGTTTCAAGTTTTAGAGGCACTTATCAAGCAAGGTAATAAAATAATTGAAATGATAAAAGGTAAAAAGTGAAGTGTAACTTCTTGGCTACCTAGAATTTCTCCGAGCTCCACTGGAACGGTAATTTCAATATTAGTGTCTCCAGAAAAGAAAACAGTGCCACAAGCACTGCTTTGTGATCCAAAGATTGTTAAAGCCTGTCTACGTTCATCCACCAGAAAGTCAGAACAAAATATGTTACGACATCCCGAATCGAATACTTTTCACCTATAAAAAATCGGGGGGAAATGTTACTCGCTGGAAAACCTCAGGAGCAAGCAGGCAGTTGGCAGGGTTTACTGTACCTGCCACTTTCTTACTTGAATGATTTTGCAACACTATAAAACCTGGGGCCCTGTCACGGCAGGGTTTTGTTCATTATTTATTTCTCAGTTGTAGCATTTTTGGAAAATTGTCCTAGAAACTCTGAATCTAACCATTTATTCATTGTGGACACACTTTATGAAATGAAATATACCCTCCAGACTAGCAAAGAGCACGATGCCAAGGCTCAGTCCTGGGGTCATGCCCCCAGGGAGAGTCAGAACCACTGTCCTGAAAACTGCTGGCTTCAGTCCACTTTGCTTTGCTGCC